CCTCGGTACCGATACCATTTTGACATTCTGGAATTATAACTCGCTAATGGTATCGATACTATACCTTTGGTATCGATACTCCCTTATTAGTATTGATACCTTCCATAACCAGTACCGATACTACTCCTTAAATATCGATACTTCTTAAAGTTTTATCAGATTTTATCATATGGTATCGACATTGTTCCTACAGTATCGATACCCCAAGCTCAAATTATACTCATTTTGCTTTGAAGTATCAGTACTAGATGAACAATACCGATACCTCATGCCTAGAACTTATTTATTTTACCCGAAAATTTTCCAAAACTTACTTTACTTCCACTCTACTAACTCATTTCAAATCCCTAAACTCAAATATACTTATTAAGACTAACTTACAACCCTTTAACACCCTTTAACATCCAATTTTCCCATTGAACACTTAGAACCAAAAATCATACCAATTATTCAACATGTTCTAAACCCCTTTCTAACACTTTAGATTTCTTATTTCAACTCATGACAAGTCAAATTTAATCTCAAACTTTACTTTCTAACTATTTCTCAACAATTCACTTAAAAACTTCTTATATTCAATCTCTCATAACTTATCAATCTTTGAGTTTTAAGAAACCTTAAGCTTTCCTTAAGCTTATGTATCACTCATAGTCCAAAACCCAAACTTAAAAATCAAGAAATAACCAGCTTACAAAGAACTCACCTTTGAAATGGAGCTCACGGGAAGAGAAGAAGATAGTTATCCAGAATCTCCAGATTTTTCTTTTCCCCCTTTCCACATGCTTAAATCCCTTATAAAGGAAAGATAAAAATCCTTCCTTTGAAAATACCAATTTGCCCTTACTTAATTTAATATTTACTAACTAATCATTCATAAAATAATTCCAATAAATCCCTGAACTTATTATCAATTTTTGAAATTGACCTCAAAGTTTCTCAACTTAAATTCTAGTCACTAGCTCTGTTTTTGAGATGTTACATAAGAGGCATAACTATGGGAAAAAGGCGTATTCCTATACCCATGTTGAAGCCAATTGGCACGAGCCCTTTGCTACTAAAAGAAATCTTCCTTGTCTGCCTCCATATTAAACCCTAGCTTGACCTCGACCAACTCATGAGAACTTAATCATCCGGATCAACGCATGATAACTCACGTAGCCTAGCCTGATAGAGGTGCCTCCGCTGGGAAGATTGATTTTTGTTTTCTTTACTCCAGCAAAGTAACGAATGGCCAAGCTTTTTTAACAGGTCTGACACAACACCATTCTCACCCTCCCAAATGTTCCTAACCATGTGTTCAAACTTCTCTTTAAAGATCCAAGACGCATTAAATTGAAATGAAGCAGACCTGGAGCCCAACCCTTGAAAGTCAAACTTCTCAGTCTCAATAAACAAAAGACAATAATCGGAAATACCGTAAGATAGATGAGTGACTGAGTGCCCCGAGTGCATAGCCCACCAGCTAGGATTTGCCACTGCCCTGTCGAGACACGAATGTTGTTACCATGTAATCGACCCCTTTGCCATGTATACCACTGTCCACTAAAACCCAAGTCACTGAGATCACAGTCTTGCAAGACCTCGCGAAAACCAGCCATACTGCGCTCCGACTGCAGTCGACCCCTTGGTTCTCAAAAGAATAAGCAATTTCATTAAAATCCCTGGCTACCTACAAAGGCAGAGATTGGTTGGAGCCCAACTGTCGCAGAAAATCCCAAGAACCAATTTGCCCACGCTCATCCGAACTTCTATAAAACCCCGTAAATCGCTATACGAGACACTCACTTTCTCAAATCACAACATCGATATGTGAACGAGAATAACTTCGCAACTCAACCTTCAAATCAGGGTATCATCCGAACGACAATCCCCCTCTTGAACCAATCACATCAACATATATACCAAACAGAAAAACAACACTTCCGACAAACTCTTTCCATCCTTCTAGCACAAAGTTCTGATGAGAAACAAAATCTGGGGGCGTGTGTCCCTTAGGGAGTTACTGAGATGATGAATTACCCGTAGAGCTCCCAAACCATGGACGTTCCAACAGATAAGCTTCATGACGTCTGGCTGCCCTGCCTAGCAGAGCCAGCCGATATTTCAAGGTTTTCGCATGGAGCAACAAAATCATTTTTCTCATAAACTATTTCCACCGTCCCAATAACTCGTTATCGCTTCTTCCCATCATAGACAACAAAAAATTACTGAGCGACTTTAATATAAAAAGAAATGTAATATTTTTAAAGGTTTTAAATTTGAGCAATTATATTCATAGAATATATAATAAACGGTTAATTGATTTAAAAAGAATTCTAAGCAAATATTGCATTATAATAAAAAAACAAATGTGTAATAATTTAAATTGATTTTGATGTTTATTTATTTAATTATTTGACTAATTTATTTAATCTTCAATTATTAGTCATATCATGAAATTTTTTATTTTCAAAATTATAAATATTAGTATAATTGATATATTTAAATATATTATAATTAATATTAATCATATAAAGTATAATTAAATTATTAATAAAGTTACATACTGTAACACCCTACACCAGTGCGACAGTCGACCGATAAAATTGTCACACGAAACCACTTGAGTGGTTAACAAAATTTTTTCTTAAACTTTCTCAATTAAAAACATTCATTTTTATTTACTCATGATAAAACAAACAATAACATTTATATAAATCAGTTTACCTCGGGAGCTCCCCAAATATCAATTCAAAATATAAAGACTATCAATTTAAAATAAGTTGCGACTCGATTATACAAAATAAGGTTACAAAAATACAAAATAAGGATTTGAAAATATACATTCCCTTTAAAGAACCCGAGACGTCCTCTGCTCTAAATCTAGTTTAGATCACTCGTTGGTCAAAATGCTCCTCTACTGCTCCTTACCTAATCTGCCTAAGGAAACAAATTCCAAACATTGAGCTAACTAGCTCAATGTCACACTAAGAACTAAAATATACTAAAGGGGGTTCATTAACATTACTCAAGCCAACTAATAAAATAATATATTGAGTATACTCGTATACTCACTCTCTATTATACCAAAGATGAGGCCCTAAAATCTCTGCATTGAACACACACCCTCGACTAGCCCACCCCTTGCGAGTGTCGAACTTTGTGCCTAGCTAGTCACTTTAAGGATATCCAGATTGAATCTATACATCGTCACCCTTAACATTAGTAAACGAACTCGGGTGTCCTGATCATTTCCCGAGCATCAATCAAGGCTAGTCTTATGTCACCCTAATTGATCTCGTTTCTATGTTTAATTAAGCATTATTATTGTTCTCACTTGTAGTTTTATTTGGGAGTAATTATAGAATTCTTGGGAGCCTCATTTTCCATATTACAAATCTCTGAAATTTGAAGCTCTTAATAGTACGATGGTACTGATATTGGCCCTTCCGTTAGCATCGATACCCTTCCGTAGGTATCGATACTCCACTATGTTTTTAACTAATAATGAAGGGATTATATTGATACCCTCCGACTAGTACTGACACTTTAAATCTGAGGTAACGATACTAACTTGAGTATCGATACTAAATTTTGATTCAATGTTTTGAAAATTCCCTCTGTATCGATATACTCATATGGGGAGTATCGATACTCTACCCCGGGGTATCGATACTCCCATGAATATCGATACCAAATTTGGTTTTGATGTTTAAAAAATGTCCCAGTACCAAAACTTACCCTATAAGTATCGATACTCCCTCTATAACTGAATAAATTTTACACATGTAGAAGAACAATATCGGTGTTGTTCTTGCAATATCGATACCCTCTGCTCGAAATAACCTTACTTAGGCTCAATTTTTACACTCAAACTTAACTTCATTCTACTTTAAGGTTCCCATTTGTTATTAATGTCTTGTGTGAGCATATATGGTCATAAATAAGACTTTAAATCATGTTATAACTTCAAAATATAAATATACCATGGAAATTACTCATCATGCATCAACTAAAATCTTAAACAAATTTTACATATATAAGGACTCACAATGAGTAAGAGAGAGTTGTGAGTGTGATTGTCACTGTCTTATCTCTTTGGTTGCTAGAAACCTCTCCAACTCAATCAAGTGCCAATTTCTCTTTACCTTTGGCCTTTGAACTCTCTCCCACGTCCTTCACTAAACAAGGGTAAGAAAAGGGGTTACTATCTCAACTAACTTCTTGAGTTAGGATTTAAAACTCTTTTATAACTTGAATCTTACTAAAAATGGCTAGAATCCAAATATTCTCATAAACCCTTCAAAAAACCCATTTTTTTGTTCCAAGACTCAAAACTTGAGAAATGGAGCTTTAATTGAAGCTAGGATGATAAGGATTAACATTCTTAACTTGGATTAACTAAACTAGATTTGAAATACTTGGAAATCTTGATTTTGGAAGGGAAGAAGAAGAGAAAATGATGGAAGGGAGAAGAAGAAAGTTTGATAGGATACTTGAGGAGTTAGTTTACGTGAAATCATAATATAAGGGAGGGGTTTTCAGCATTCAAAACCTCAAGGGAAAATTTGCAATTTCGGTCCCTTTGACTCCAAAATCAAACAAAATCACCATTAACCCTTGGGCCCAACTCAAGCCCACTCCTAAATTAACTAAATCCAACCATTCTATTAGGTCCCTTGGTTTGGTTTAATGGTTTCAGGTTGACCTAAACTACTAACTCGGATTTTGGGGCGTTACACATACAAAATTATATTAAAAGAATTTAAAAATATCTTCACACATGATAAAATTTAAACATGATAAAATCCACAAACAATTTGTACACATTATAGAACTTGAAAGGAGACTTAAATCTAGGCATAACCATTGATATCACTTAACAAATTTAACGTTATAAAACTTGAAATGAAATTTGAACCTGATTGAATATACATGCAAACACACATAACATTTCACATAAATTGTACGTACAAATAAAGAAAACAATATGAACATATAAAATGAATGAATTTTCGAGTATTGAGTAAATGAAATAAAACAATAAGGTTGATAGCTGCTCAGCGAATTCATGTATTAACGGTGTCCGACGAACTCTGGCCGTGACTAGTTGGAGTTTGGTCGGTGTCCGGTGAATTCCCGCCGTGACTTTTTGGAGTTTGGTCGGATTCCTTTTTCACCCAAACTCCAGTTGCATCGCATGGGCAGAGAGCGATTTGAGGACATTTGACTTTCTCCAAATATTCCAGGCCTGGGAACTGCGTTTGAATCTCTTTCCAGTTTATCTTTATATTAATCAAGTACTTCAAACGCAGAGTCTTCACTTTGCATTGCCTGTCAATCGGACCCAAGCTGCTCAGTTTTCCACCTTTAATGTAGAGACGCTCAAGTAATGTCAGTCTGTGGGGTACCAGCCATGGAGGCAGTTCTTTATCTGGGTAACATTGGAGGTCTAGTTTTCGCAGTTCCATGTTCTGTTTTGGTGTTGTGGCCACCCCTTTTTTTTCGGGAAATGATTTTGAAGACCCTTCTCCTCCGCGTACTCTGACCAATGGCCCAATTTTCAGTTTTCGAAACGCCTTACCGAAAGTTGATTTCGGTGCTTCACTCTTCTTGCCTTTGTCACTTTGCTTGGAGTTGCCATTCTTTTCATTTGTGGACTTTGATCCCTCTCCACCTGCTCCCCATGCTATTTTCAGTTTCTCCAGCTTCTCAAAGCTAAAGAAAATAGATTCCGTGTCTTGGGAATCTATTTTGAAATCATCATCGTTGATGTTGATGGTGAGTTTCTTCAGGTTTTTCAGCTTTGTCAAGTCTCTGAGTCTGCATGAGCTGTTCTTGCTGATCACGAAACCCTTAAGGACTAGGAGATTCGAAAGCTTAGACAAGTCTCTGGGAATGTCTTCAAGCAAATAGCACTCGGATAGATCCATGAAAGTGAGCATCTTGAGTGAACCAATCTCTTTGGGGAGCTTCACGAGATTGTGACAAGCTCTGAGATCCAAGATCCTCAAGTTGTAAAGATTACCCAGAGATTCTGGGAGCTCGTCGATTCCAGAGATTCCTTGAAGACTGAAAAACCTCAGCTTTTTCATGTTCTTCAACCCCTGCAAAAAGTCAGTATTTTCAACCTCCATGTGCCGCTCGGCTGTTCTCTCCCACCTTCCCAGGTAAAGGACGCCTATGTTCTTCATCTTGGAAAACAACTCATCGGGCAGATCCGGGAATTGCTTACTCACATTGAACAAAGTTTGTACCTTTTCCAGATATGCTCCTCTCCTTTTCTCCCGACTTAATCTCACCGCCTCCTTCTCCGCCTCCATCTTCTTCTTCTCCTCCTCCTTTCTCTTCCTCGCCTCATCTTCGTCCTTCCTCCTCTTCTCTGCCCCTTTCTCCTTTCTCCTCTTCTTCTCTGTCGCCTCCTCTTTCTTCTGATTCTCGACAGCCTCCTCCTTCCTCTCCTCCTCCCCTTCCATCTTCTTCTCCTCCCCCTCCATCTTCTTCTCCTCCGCTGAAATTTTGCCTTGCTGGTTTGTCTTTTCTGTCGGATCAAACTTCTTTGGAAGTGGAACATTCTTAGACCACCAGGAAGGTCCTTCGGTTTTCACCAGGCATATTTTGTCGCTTTTGAAGAAAGCTTTGTTGGGGTATCCCTTGGAATTGAAGTAAAAGAAGTTGGCCTGATGAGCAAACCTGATGATGAGACAACGAATAATGGGATGCATCTTGTAGCTTGTAGTCTGCGATTTGCTGCTCTTGGTATCAGGCTCGATGAATCCCTTCTCTACAAATTCCCCAAGAATTTTATTTATCAACACCTTTTTGTCCTTGTCGGTCACTGCCTCTGTCTTTGTGGATGACAGCAACCATTCCCCTTCCCACCAAAACCCTAGAAGCCTCTTTCTAACGACAGCATTCTCCGGGAAAATCGCGAAAGATAACAAGCACAGTTGGCGCCTTAGATCAAGACCACCGTAATGGCGTTCAAATTCTTTGAGGAAAGCCTCGCTGTCGAATATTCCATCTGCTTCGAACGGATCAGGGAGAACACCTGTCCAAGGAAAATATAATTTACACAATGTCCACATTTACACACACAACAATAAATATTTCGGTAAAGGATCCAAGTCACTTTACGTATACTATTATTAAAAGTTATAAAATAGTTAATTTTAAAAAATATAATGCAGCACATATACATGAACGTGACTGACTCAACATAAAATTGTTATCAACATTAAGAGAGAAAAATTTGTATAAATTTATTACACTCTAAATGTAAAAAAGCACATGAAATATATAACACGTATACTATTCGACTTGAAAGGATGGATATGTGGTACTTACTGACGTCTCGGCCGGCACTCATGGTTTGTGCATATCGATCCTTAGAGATGGAGGAGGAAGCTTGATGCTGCAACGGGATCTGGACCTTGAGTTTGGTGATGTTGCTCCTCAGCACGTTAAGATTGTTTTCGATCAGTTTCTTCAGCTGTGCGTCCTTCTTTTCCAGATCAGATAGGATGTCATTAACGTTGTCTTCAAGGGTTTTGATTGGTTCTGAAAGATTAGTTTCGAATTTTCCCAGTTTCTTGAATTCACCAAGCAAATACTTGAGCTCATTGCAGGCTTTATCGAAAGCATTAGGCGTCACGCCTTTTTCTTCTTCCTCGGGCTTTAATATAAAAGCCTTCTTCGTGTCATTCTTGGCTTCGGAAAGAATTGTCCACATGTTATCTATCCTTCCAGTGATTTTCTCGACGAGTGAAGATGTGTCTTCTTTAGGGTTCGAAGGGTCTTTGGAGTTCGTTGAAGACATGGCTGAAGCGAGAACGGATGGAATTTGAGAATGACAAGTGTGGGAGATGGATGGATGGTATGGAGCCAGAACAAACGCTTCATCTCTATTTATTACTCCCTTTTCATGCCATGCATTTCGTTTCTTTGAATTTTTTCTACTGTTCTTCAACCTTCACGTTAAGTAAGAAATATATTCGTTACTTTATTCCCTCTCTTTTCTTTGGATAAACTATACAAATGGTCCACCGACTATATGACTATGCTTTGTTGAGTCATCCAACTATTGAAAGTTACAAAATGATAATCTGATTATTCACATATTCCAAACTCGTATTTTTTCGATAAAATTTGAGATTCGTCAATAGGTTAATGTCTGGCTCAGACTGTCATCATTTTTAAGGAAAAGGATGAATTTGAAATATATGAATAGTTAGATGATCATTTTTTAACTTTTAACAGTCGAAGGACTCAACAAAATAACATACTATAGTTAAGGGACTATTTTATAATTTTTAATAGTTGAGAGACTCAACATAGTGATACATATAATTGGAAATAATTTGTATACGTTATCCTTTTTCTCCCCATGAATTTTGGACTTGTCATATTGTATATTCTTGCAGTCCAAAGTATTTGTTCTTTTTTCTTTTGCTTGTGAAGCCGAAGGAAAGAATTTCCACGTGCCTCATTGAGAGTCACAACTTATTCTTTTGTTCTTGTATCCAAACTACAAGTTTTTCTTATTCTAACTTCGATTTACTCCTTCCTTCCCAAACTGTTTCTAGATTTTTCAGAATAATCCGAGTTAAAATCATGGATCACTTCCAAAAAGCATGTCCACTTCTTCTAAAGAATCAAATATGTATGAATATTTTAATTATGAAAATACAATATAATGGTGTCAAACTTTTCTTTTTAATTTTGTTTAACCGGTGGAGATGTTATTTTTTATGTTGGTTGTCGTCTGCAAGTTCTCAGGGTTGCTTGACTCTTATTTGCGATTTTCCGGTGACCTTCAATAGTTTCATCCCCTTTTGTAGTTCGTTTGCCGATACAATCAGATTTGTTTGTATCTTTATTTTGTTCGAGCTTTTTGGTTAGATTTTTTAACCTTTTCCTTATTTGGTCATTGTGTTGTGTTATCTAGGTGGCTAGTTTTTGTGTCAATGGAGTTATAGGATAATATCCTAATTATAATTTGGTTGACGTTTACATTATACTTGTAAATCTTCATTGTAATTCTGGATATTTTATATTTTTAATAAAACTTGCGATTTTCTATAAAATAAAAATAAACTCTATATTTAGAGACATAAATAGTAGATGTCGACACTCGTTTTCATCCCGTTTAATATTATTATTATTATTATTATTAATTAAATAAATAAATTTTATTTTTGCAGGCTTTACAAACCTAATAATAAGCCCAAAATAGGGCCCAATATACATCAGACCCAAAACCCCCAAACCCAAGTTACAACCTAACTGAGATTGAAGTCCAAAACCCGGCTAGATTTTTACCCTATCTCCTCAGCTGCCTTCAATGGCAACCATTGGATATGGACCCATCCAACGATCCAGATACAACCCCAGATTAGGGTTTTCTTTACCCTAAAAGAGAAATGTCACCGCCACTCATCTCAGCTGTCCGATCTAGACCCATCCAACGGTCCAGATCGAGCCTCTGCCGTCGCCTATCTCCACCAGTCGGTGGCCACCAACGCCTCCACCAATCCGAAGCCCTGCCATGTCAGAAACATAAATCAACACACAAGCAACCCCAACACTAGCACTACGCGCAAAAATCATTTCTTTTGTAATGATTTCATATCATAAAAATCAAGAAAAATATCTGTAAAACGGGTTTATATAAACCCCGAATACAAATGTAAAAGGGTCCATCCCTTTGGTTTTCAGAAGCAATAATGAAAAAAAAACATTCAATGTATTTTTCCTTTTTTATTTCAATTTCAAAAATAAAAAATAAAAAAAAAAGATAAAAAAACCTAAGCTTTGCATGTAACCCAACCAAAGAAAAACTCAAGGGGTCGAGTGGTTTACCTTAGCTTGGGGGAGGGTCGAACTGAGGGTCGGTTCATCGTCGCCAGAGTTAAAACAACCGAGGGGTCAGAGCTTGTTTTTAGGGAGTTATAGTCTAGGATAGTGGTCTAGGGGTGTAAATCTAAGCTTTTAGGTTTTTTTGGGTCGATTTGGGAGCTCTAGCCACCGTGTGTGGCGGCCAAAACAGTGTCCAGATAGGGTTGAAGGGTGGCCGACAGTAGGCTGACTGAGAGAAAATGAGAGAAAATGAAGAGAGAGTTTTTTTTAAGAAAACTCGGCTAAAATGAAAAATAAAATGAAAGGTTTTATATATAGAGCAAGTTAGGGGAAATTATGCTTAGATCTCCCTAACTTACACGTGTTTTTGTAGAATGGTCATGTGTAGGGACCATTTTCATAATTTACCCATTTCTTTTTGTGCTTTGTAATGTTTGATTTAATTTTTTTAGTCCCCCTAGTTTAGCCATGTTTTTGCATGTTAGTACTGTTTTTTTAATTTACCCACTTTTATACATGTTATATATATTTTTTAATTTCCGTTTAGTCTCTGTATGTTTAGTGTGTTTTTACATTTTGGTCATGTGTAGAGACTTTTTTTTAAAAAAATTAAATGCTTATGGACTAATTTAGTAATTTTTTCCTTTTTTATTCGAATGTATATTTTAGGCTAGGAAAAAGGAATATTTAGGAAATACCCCTGTAGTTTCTGCATGTTTGTATTTTGAACCAGAATCTATTTTTTATTTATTTTAATTTAGCCATGTAATTTTAGTTTATTTTAATTTAGTCCTCATGTTTTATTTATTTTTATTCTTTGTAATTTTAGCACCCAATATTGAGCATGCTCATTTTAGTCACTTTTATACTTTTATTTTATTTTAGTTTTGACATGATGGTTTGATTGTTTATGTTTTAGTCCTATTTTTATTTTATTTTAATTTTTTCATGTTGCTTGCATGTTAGTTCATTTTAGTCCTTAATTAATTTTGCATGATACCCTCATAATCATCTCTTGACTCGAATCGAGATAAATTGACTAAGGGTAATATTCATTCATTTTAATATTATCGTAAAGTGACTGTCTTAATGTATAAGAAAGTTACTTTCGATAATTTTAAAACGAAAGTATATCCCATTTATTGACACAAATTAAATCGAATACATTTTAAAATTTGGGAATTGGGAAAAAGATCATGTTCTTTTAATTAAATTCATCGAAAAAATACTGTTAGATCTAGTCTAAGGTCTCGTCTTGATATATTTAAATAATTGAACATCTTTATTCTCTTTAAATATTGGTAAAATAAATAAATAATTATACTTTCTCGATAAATGATTTTAATTTGCTTTATTTTTGCATGTGTTTTCCGACGGGTTTTCGAAATAATAACACTCGAATCGATATTGAGAATAATAATATATTTTCATTTCGGTTGGAGCAATAAATGACTGCTTTAAGGCATGTGGCATGAGAGGTCATTTATTCGATTGGAAATAATTCAATATTTTTTAGATGAAATAATGATATCTCTTCATTTCGATCGGAGCAATAAATGAATGCTTTAAGGTATGAGAGGTCATTTATTCTCGATTGGAAACTATTAGATATTATCGTTTTCACTCATATTGATATTGAATTTTAAGACAAAATAGTGATATCTCTTCATTTCGGATGGAAATGATTGTTTTATGGTACGAGATGTCATTTATTTTCGATTGGAAATAATTAGATATTATTATTTTCTATCTTAAAATTATTTTGGGTGTTGTTATTTTGAATTAATAGTGAACTTTAGAATGTAATTTTAATATTTCTCTATTACAATTGGAGTAAGAATCGATTGCTTCAAGGTACGAGAAATCGATTCTTCTCGATAGGAAATAATTAAATATTATCATGTTTCGTCCAAATATTCAAAGAATTTTATTTTTAGGGGATCTTAAATTAAATTCGACTCGAACTCGTAATTTCATTGCAAAGACAATTAATTAATCGACTAGGTACCAATTTAGGGCGCTGTGAGGGTGCTAATCCTTCCCCATATGTAACCGATTCCCGAACTCAAATTTTTGTAACACAGACCGCAAATTCTTTGTTTTAATTAAGACAAATATTTTTTTAAATGAAAAATACTTTTTGGGTTGCCCAATCACACCCTAATCAAAGATTGGTCGCGATTCCTCGAACCACATTTTATCATTAACCGATCACAAAAGTATTTCGAAATGAGACCTCCACCTTCCCCATTCGAAAAAAACCATTTTGAAAGCTTGACGACTCTACTGGGGACGTTTTTTAGAGAGTCGAGTCATTAGTCAACTATTTAATTGTGTTTGCAAACGAAAATTACAAGTTCTCTCTAATTTGATTTTTGATCCCTTATATGGTTTGAATAAATTTTTCTCTTGTAATTTGATTAAGCACTAAATAGTTGTGATAATATGTTTGCTAATGTTTTCAGAGTAAGTAATTGTTTAGGGTTTTGAGTTTTCTGTTTGGTGTTGATTGCTTTGTTTTTGCTTTTCCTTACACATTGTGCAGCTGCATTTGTATAACTTGAGCTAAAACCCTGTTCTATCCTATTTAAGTAGGAGTGAGAAGTTACTCACTCGTGTGGTTTTCACCTCTGTACGGGATAGTAAATCGTTCATAGGGCTCACACCTTATGGTCTTTGTGATGCTTTTCACCTATGTATGGACATAAGGAGGTGTGTCCCCTCGAATTGAACTCAATCTTAAAGCCTGTGATGGGCCAGGGTTGAGAGTTTGACAGCTCAAGGGGGCACTGACAAAGATAATTTGAGGACCTCTTACTTTAGAGTCGAAGCTAACATATAGTAAACTTAGAACACAGATAGGGCTTTACCTAGATTATAAAAATCCCATGAGGAGAGTACATAAGAAAAAACCTTTTTGAGCATTTTAATTGTTGTAGTGTAATTTTGATTCTCGAATAAATGTATGCGAACTAGATATCATGCGGTTAGGTTTATTTTTTTCGAATACGCATGCGAACTAGATGTAATAAGGTTAGGATTTTCTATAAACAAAGCATGTGGGTAGAAATCCTGTTTGGATAGGATTTACTAAAGCATGATTGGGTAGACAGCATATGGGTAGGTTTTATCGAAAAATTATATGATGTCCGATTGATTTCTTTATGATTACTGACTAATTTTCTCTTTTTTTTGTTTTATTTTGTTCTCATTTTGCATTGTACTATTCATCCTATTGGTGTTGATCATTGACCGATGTCCATATAGAAGGCTAATAATATGGAACGAAGGATTCAGAAAGAGGTAGAAGATAATGCAGTCGTTCTGAGATGGTCCGAACAGTCCCAACTAACGAATAGAGACAATTTACATCCTGGATACGTGTCAGATGTGATTAGGTACAATCACATCAATGTGCGTCAAAATGATCTGAGTGAGCTGAAAGAGATTTGGGGAAAGTGGGAAGCATCTGATAAGTAGTTGTTTTATTAACTCTATGGTGACATCTCGTATCTCTTAAACGTTCCAATCGATCGAAATCTGTTTAGAGCTCTAGCCCAGTTCTAGAACCCGCCTATAGTTATTTTACCTTATGCCGAGTGGACATGACACCTACCATAGAGGAGTACCATGCCTTGCTTCGTTGTACGAGATTCCAAGCGGACAAGTTGTACACCAAACTACCAAATATTCATTCCTTCAAGAAGAAACTGCTTCTGATGACCAACATGAATGAAAAGTGGGTCGTAAGAGGCATCAAAAAGAAGGGAGATAACGAGTGCATTACCTGGACCGCTCTGAGAGAAATGATCAACAGTCATCCTGACAAAAGAAAGAATATTGACTTGTTTGCTCTGGGTATTTATGGGCTAAGCATTTTCCTGAAGGTTCTGGGGCACATTGATGTATCAGTGGTAGACCTATTCGAGAGACTGGACAGACATGTGGATCCCGTTTCGGCTATATTGGCAGAAACTTTCAGTTCCTTGAACTCTTAGAGACGAAAATGAGAAGAACGCTTCATAGGGTGTGCATCGCTACTACTAGTCTGGATCATCAGTCATTATAAACACGTTGAGAGGGCACTCAGTTGAGTCTTCTTAGAAGTTTTTTCATATTTGAAGGTTTTCCTTTCTCAAGAATGACCTGGGGGTTTCACTAAAGAGAAGTTGATGGCCATTTTCAAAGATATTCAAGACAGTGATATTTTGTGGCGCGCTTCATGGAACATCTCATCGCACATACTATATAGGTGTGAAAAAAGAGATTGAGTTCTGTTTCCAGTCGTATGGGGTTCTTTAGGGTATGCTATATTATTGGTTTCTAGGCAGTATGGGTCGAAGAATTTTATTCTAGCAACTTGAGGTCTGAGTTTGCATTTAAAGGAGAGCAATACAAGAATAAAGTTAAAGGGGTCACCGATGCATGGAGGCACACTTGTAGGGTATATCTATTTACCTTTGACTTAAAGCTGTCACAAGATATGAGGAGTGAAGAAGAAATAGGGTTAATGATAATATCCTGATGTTCAATCCTGAAAATACTTATCCTATGGAAGAACATCTAAGAGTAATACCATCTACGCTGGAACAAGTCAGACTTGATTTTGAGGCTGAGAGGAAATAGTGAAAGGAGGCGTTACAAAGATTAGAGGATGAGTCGTACCAGATAAGCTTAGAAATTGATATCCAAAAGGGTCGAGCTGACTAGATCGAAACATTAGAGAGGTAACTCAGATTGGACTTTGATGATCTCTAATTCTCTTACCAGCGAATTGTCAAGGCTTAGATGGCCACTGGCTCAAGTAAGTGTCATGCTGGACGGAGACAGAAAGTGGCCAGTTTAAAAAGAGAAGTTGGGGAAAGCGGTGAAGAGCTTAGGCATATTAGACATCAGACGAAGCTATTTTCGAAAGAAAAGAGTGCACTAGAGCAACAGCTGCAAGAGATTCAGGCCCTGAACGAGAAATTGAATGACAACATCTTGAGTTTAAAGACAACCTTGAGATGGTAACGGAGTCGAGAAAAAAATTTAATCCATG